CCCCAAAACCCCAAAACCCCAAAACCCCAAAACCCCGAAATGGGTTATAATAATTGAAATTTAGGAGTAAGGGAAAATGGAGAAAAGTGATCTAGAAGAAGAGCTTATTAGGACGGAGGAAGGGAGAGAGGTGTTTAGTAGTTCTATCAATAACGAAGAAGGTTTCATCCCAGCTCAAGAACTCAGTAAAGAAGAAACTAAAGATGAGTTCATCGACATGGACATCCCAGCGAGGAAGAGGAAGGAAACAATCGTCATTAGAAGAGATCAATGGAGAGATATCAGGATTAACACAGAGCTTGGGTTCCGGGACCAAAGACATGGAGGTTTCAGAGGGAATAAGATCAAGACTTCCAAGTATACAATCCTGAACTTCTTACCCAAGAATTTATTTATCCAGTTTACAAAATCAGCGAACGTGTACTTTTTGATAATGGTTGTACTCCAGTGTATCCCAGCAGTGACGATTACGCAGGGCCAGCCGACTATTCTAGTGCCACTTGGATTTGTGACCTTAGTCTCGATGGTAAAGGATATAATCGAAGACTACAAAAGATATTCATCAGATACAATGGAGAACAATAGAAAAGGTTGGTATTTTTCTCCAATTCTAACTTTTTAGTGCTGGTCATCCCCCAGGGACCTCAGATAGAAGAAGCAACAGAAAGAGAGGGTGAAGATCTGTTCAAGGACATCCAATGGAGATCTGTTAGCGTCGGTCAAATCTGCAAAATCAAATGTGATGAGTACTTCCCCGCAGATATGATCCTTCTCAACTCAGATGACCCCCAGGGTATTTGCTATGTAGAGACCAAGAATCTAGATGGAGAGACTAATATGAAGCACAAGGTTGCTAATAAGAAGGTCTTGCAAAGAATCAAGCAAGAGAAAGATCTTGAAAATTTTATTGCAGATATTTCATGTCAACCTCCGAATGAATTTTTGTATAAATTTGAAGGGAAGATAAACTTTAGCCCTAATGATTCAGAATTAAGTAATACAGGAAGAAGATCTAACAAAGAGAGTGCTCCTCTAGATGCTAACCAAATGCTTCTCAGAGGGAGTAGTCTCAGAAATACTGAATATGTTTACGGAGTTGTAGTATACACTGGTCATGAGAGTAAAATTATGAAAAATTCACCAGAAAGTAGATACAAGACTTCAAAAATGGAGCAGTTGACAAACAAGTTTATTATCTATACTTTCATTTTCCAAATTGTCATCTGATTATTCGCATCCATCTACTCAACCATCTGGACAAGTGTGTTCAGGGAAGAAACAGAACAGTACCTCAAATGGAGTCTTGACACAGGAGTAATTGCCAACAATGTATTTGTCAACTTCTTGGTAACATTTGCGTCATGGCTGCTGATTTTTTGGTAATGTTTTCGCTAAATTATATAGAGATTTTGTCCCAATATCTTTGCTAGTCACTTTGGAAATTGTAAAATTTATTCAAGCACAGTTTATTAATTGGGATCATACTATATATGATGAGACCAAAGATATGGCAACTAAGGCACAATCTTCAAATCTAAATGAAGAGCTTGGGCAAGTTGAGTACATCTTCTCTGATAAAACAGGAACTCTCACACAGAATGTAATGGAATTTAAAAAGATGGTAATCGGTCCTGTTTCTTACGGAAAAAGTGAATCGGAGATCCCCTCACCAGAAGAGGGTAAGAAAGAAGAAGACAAAAATGAGGAAGATGATTTTATAGAAGATCTCTCAGAGCCTCAAAAGACAAACCCAGATATTACAAATGTCAATTTCTATGATCCAAAATTTTACGAAGACTATAGAAACCCTCATTGCCAAAATCTCTCGATGATAAAAAGATTCTTGTTACATCTAGCATTATGTCATACAGTGATTATTGAGAAGAAGGAAAGTAACGGGGAAACAAAGATGATCTATAACGCAAGGTACCATCTATTACTAACCCTCTAGCTCTCCCGATGAACTGGCTCTGGTCAATGCAGCTAGATATTTTGGATACTTCTTCAAGGAAAGAGACTCTGAAAACAACATCTGCCTTGAGATGGAAGATGGTTCCATTGAACAATACAAACTACTAAATGTGATAGAGTTTGACAGTACAAGGAAAAGAATGTCTGTGATCATCAGGATACCAAGCGGCGAAATAAAAGTCCTTTGCAAAGGTGCAGATTCAATCATCGAGCAAAGACTTCGAGACCAGATAAATATGCCAGAGACGACTAAATATCTTGAAAATTATGCAAGCGAGGGTCTCCGAACCCTCCTCCTTGCTGAGAAGACTATTGATGAGGAGGAATACAAAGAATGGAACAAGAAGTATGAAGAAGCTTGCATTTCTACTTCTAACAGAGAGGAAAATATAGCTAAAATCGCTGAGAAAATTGAGTGGGAATTTGAGCTTGTTGGAGCAACTGCTATCGAGGATAAACTCCAAGACGAGGTGGCAGATACTATCAATATCCTTAAAGAAGCAGGTATCAAGATATGGGTACTCACCGGAGACAAGATAGAAACTGCTATAAATATCGGATATTCTTGTAAAGTCCTTAGTAATGACATGGATCAATACATTATTGATAATACAAAAACTAGTGATATCTCAGATAGATTAATAGAAGTCCAGAATGAGTTTGAGCAAAGTGAAGCCAGAAATCATGGCTTAATCGTTGCAGGAGACTCCTTACTAAAAATCACCAGCAGCTCTGACCTCTGAGAGCCATTTAAGGAGCTAGCTGACAAAATGAAGGTAGTGATTGCATGTAGAGTCTCTCCAAAGCAGAAAGCAGAGATTGTTCAACTTGTGAAAGACCAATATCCTCAAAAAACAACACTCAGCATTGGAGATGGAGCTAATGATGTCAATATGATAACTACTGCTGATATTGGGGTAGGAATTAGCGGGTTAGAAGGACAGCAAGCAGCTAGGGCAAGTGATTATGCTATTGGTCAATTTAAATACTTGAAAACCCTCCTTCTTGTCCATGGAAGAGAATGAAACAGAAGAAATGCTTACGTAGTCGGATACATGTTCTACAAAAATATGCTCTTTGTATTGTGCATCTTCTGGTTTGGAATAGTCAGCGCATTCTCAGGAATGAGTATTTATGAACAATGGCTATATCTTTTCTTTAACGTAGTTTTCACTGCATTCCCAATCATGTGGTTTGCAGTCTTTGATTATGAATATACCAAGAAAGAACTTGCAGAAGATCCAAAATATTATATCTATATTGTTAAAAAGTCAATTTCGCTTGGTAAATTCCTTAGATGGATCTTCTTTGCTGTGTGGCAATCAATGATATTCTGAGTGCTCGCATTCATCCCATTTGAAAAACAAGGAGGTACTCTGTGGATGGAAGGAAACTTTGTATATCTAGGTGTCGTGATGATAGTCAACATCAAAATTTTGACAGACACTAGTAACCACACAATAATCTCAATCTTACTGTTCTTAATGTCAATACTTTTGTTCCTCCTGGGAACTGTTGCTATTAACTTCTTTACTTTCAGTGACCTGTATGGTGTTTTAGAAAATACGCTCACTTCAATAGAATTCTACATGATTTTGATCCTCTTCATGCTGGCTATTGCTCAGATCGATATCGGTGTCAACTATGTCAATAGAGAGATTAGACTTAGATTCATAGGATTCGTGCAAAGAGTTCAATCAAGATTTTACAGGTAATTTTTACAATAATTCTGTAGAAGAAAGACAGTCGACGAACAAAATATCCGTAAAACAACGAAAATCCGTAAGCTTATGAATTTTATCCTCCAGATACTGGTTTTGCCTTCTCTCAAGATCCAGGTAATGCACCACAAGTGGTGGATAAGGTGACTAAGAAATATCCAGATGCTCCCCATTTCTCGAATGCAGAGCCTGAAGAATACTACAATTTGCATAATGAGGCTGAATAGCCATTATCTTATTTCAATCTTGAAATATCTACCAGGGGTTTTGGGGTTTTGGGGTTTTGGGGTTTTGGGGTTTTGGGG